ATATAGACTGTTTTTTTTGTGGACCAAAATGCATTTAAGTCCCATGTGATGGGCCTTTTTGCCATTTGCCCTATTCATTATTTAAATTTTAGCAGTTAGATTGACAGTTTTTTTTTTTTTTTTTTTTGGGCCAAAATATTTTTATTCCATTAAATACTTTTGAAAGTACAATGGGGCCTCGTTAAAAACCTTGGGGGCCTACACAAGGAAAAGAGTACCCCTATAAATGGAAAGGAATAAAAATGGGACGGGGAAAGGCCTATACTATCTATTACAAAAATGTCCGAAAAAATGGCTAAAAAGAAAAAAGAAAAGACTACACTACAAAACAAGAATACATTCCTAGAATTGCTAAAAGGCCTCCAGATTGGGGTGAAAGTGTAAATACACTGAAAAGCTGCTCCAAAACAGTCCCAGGATGGTGGCAATTATGCAAAATCCAGAAATAGGAACTCCAAAAAGTCCAAGCCTTACAGTAGTGCATCTTCATCCTGGACGGAACGTATGTACACCCAACTTGTCTCCCAAATAAGCTGCCTTGACCTCAAAAGGTAATGAAGACCCGGAAAAATATTGTTGTGTTGATTTGTGAGTATACGCCCAGTTGGCAAGAAGATCAGCCCACTGTATTCTTCTGACGAACAACATGCTGAAAACTATGCGACGAAGCCACCTCCTGCATACACAGGCGAAGAACGAACTCAAGCTCCATGCAACACTCTGAGTTCGGATAGCCGTAATCGCCAGAAGAGAATCACTTTCCACCGTAACATTAGAAATACCGAGGCTCTTACATAGTCTAAACCCATAAGCTACCGCCAAAAGTTCGGCAAAATTAATCCTACCAGCCCCAAAAAAGGATGAAAACACTGCAATCACTTTTCCAGCCGAGTCCCGAACAATCCCTCCGCCAGTACATACATCATCATTTACTGAGCCATCAGTGTTGAGTTTAAATTCCCCTATATTTGGGAAATCCCACTTGTACCAAGAGCCTCTCTTCATCGGGGGCTGCACCATACGGATTCCGACGGCTTGAAGCTGAAGCCTCTGAATTTTCGTAGAGGGCTGCTTAGGCATGTGGAGAAGAACAAGGTTCTGAATGTGGTAATAAACCCTTCGAATAATATCACCTTTGCTCATGGCCCCGCCATCGTACACCACTTTGCAGCGAGCCACCCAAATTTCTAGTAACACATGGCACACAATGGAACTCCGAACCATCGTATACAAGGACTGGCAATTCGGTTTAGGATCCCAAACCGTGAGAGCGTGCTTAACAGAGGCGAACGTATGGGAAAGTTTAAACCGCGACCCAAAATATTGCCAAACCTGTGTGGCCACCTCGGATTGTAAGAACAGGTGATTAATATCCTCTTGGTGAGAGTTTTGGCAGCAAACGCATCTAGAAACCATTGGGATGCCACGAGAAATAATACGTTGGTCCGAGCATGACGTAATAATTTCCACATAAACCGCTCGTTTTATACGGTACGAAAGGGTGCCATATACGATCAGCCCATATTGAACGATGACCCGAAACCCTAGTATGCTGCCAGTATTTTTTGGTCGAGAACTCGCCAGACTGAGTAAGTGTAAAAACCAAACGGTCCGGCTTACTGGGGTCTAGAATGGTCTGTTGGATTTTATCATGCCATTTTGTACACTTTACAAAATGGCATGATAAAATCCAACAGTAAGATGTTGATCACAGGGTAACGGCCCATGCAACACCTCCCCTAGCCAATTGTCAGCCCAGAACTTTACACTTCCACGACCCACGACCCACTTTGTACATTCGATGATGCTTGTCGCATGATTATTAATGAAGAGCCACAGTGGAGAAGCCGATCGACGTGTGATGGTCGATCTCTTCTCCCAATATTTCGCCCTGGCAAATTTTGACCAAAGGGACTGCCCTTGAAGAACTTGCCATAAAAGTTTTCCATGTAAACAGCCCATTACTTGTTGGAGCGGCCGAATACCCAAGCCACCTTCGTCAATCGGAGTACACGCCAACTGCCACTTCACCCAATGAGTCCTTTTTTCGCCTCCATAAAAAAGAAGCCATCAATTACTCTATTCGCTTGATTACCGATGTCGGAACTTGATTGACAGTTAAATAATGAATATTGTACGTTACACATTTCGAAATAAGGATTCAAATTTAATCTTGATAGAGTCAATTAGTGAGGGTTATAAATTTAATACTATTGTAGTCAATCATTAATTAGTGATTTCTTCTATATTCTCAACATTTCACCATAGTATGAAATAAAATCCTTCAGATTAATTCTTTTATAGAAGTTAAATTTATAATCTTTTTTTTATTCGAATAATTATAGCCAAAATACGTGAATCATTGGTAAGGTCTTAAAGAATCGAGGACTATGACGAATGGACGAAGTGTTACTCCGAATTAAATAACAAATTATGTACTGTGGTTTTATAATATGCATACGGTGGTATTAATTCCGTATGATTTGATTCTATAATAAATTAATT